ACCTCACTTATGTTGAGTCAATTCATAAGAGATGTCGAGGTACAGAAAATTTTCGATATTAAYCATCATTAACAGAGATGGACGACTCGCATGAAACAAATTTTCAGTGACTTCAGGACATCGTTGTTCAATTTATTCTTTGTTTTTGTAAAAMTCACCAGACAAACCTTTACGTCGTTAATAAACACAGCAATTGGCCTTTGGAAGTCAAGCTGAACCTAGTGTTCATGYAAGAGGTTGTGAAAGTATAGAAAAAAAATTACAGATTCGTTTTTAGCGGGAGTCAAAATTGATGGGATGTTATTTGTATAATTCTCATGATTTTAGTAAATTGTGGTTGTTAGACMCCTACATACATACCTTGTCTACAACGCAAATACTCTACGTAGTAGGAAATTTTTACTATCATTTTCGGTTTTTCTTCTTTACTGGCGTAGACACCACTTACGCGCTTATAGCCGAAAGTACAAAACAGAGAAGGATGTAGTCATGTGTAGAAGTTCACGTAAGTGAGGAGTTCTCTGGTTGTCATTCACTTGGGAGTGGTCATAAACGATTATTTTATAAATGGCTCAAGCAGCTCACGACTTCCGGTCTTGGACCAAGTATCTTTTGGGTAGCCAAAGAACATCCGTTTGAAGCCGAGCTAAAGTGAGAGAGCGAACCATCTCTCCCCAGGGTWTTGCGCTGGGTTTCGGACCCGCCACGTAAATGCCCAATGAATATGAAACAACAGCCTCAGAAGAGAAGCCYTCCTTTTGATGACAGCTATGGCAATGGTTTTAGCAAGCCCTAACATCGTCGTTTAGCAACTTTAAATGAGTGTTATTATTCGGAAGTGAGTAAGCTTCCTTGAGCTTTATGGTCATATTTTAGTAAATTTCACACTTGACTTCACGACATCTGTCGTCTGCCCTTTTCTTTATGCGGCTGTAAAAGCGGCAACTCCCATACCAATTTGATAAAACTTTATGAGACTTGGCAAGTAGATAAAACTAATTAATAGTATTGCTGTTTTCTTAAATGGGCGCAAAGGACCACTGCTGCGTTCACACACCCAGCCCCTCTATTCCTCATATAATAAATATATATGTAGATGTACGTATGTATATCCTCTACTTTTAGATCGCTCCGGATGGGGTGAGTTGTCATAATCAAATTATATAAGAATAATGCCATATTATTCGAGTCGGTAACAAAATGTGAGATTTCGAAATATATTTTCCTCTAGTCTTTTTAAAGCATATTTTTCGGATATTAAGCACTACCTACTACTGAAAACGAAGTCTCACGTTCCCCATATCAAGAGATAACCACAAAATATTTCAAAAAACCTTGACTTTTGATTCGTAGCCTCTAATGGTCGGTTGTAGTCGGAATTTGCCGCACCTTACTTGTTTGAGCATGATTGCCCTGCAACTTATGTATTTAATTTATTCTTATTTTGGGGAGATAAGGGGGAGCCACTCATCTGTTCACTCAACATGTGTAACGGCTCAAAAAATTTGTCTCACAGTAAGTGCCTGGCTTTATGGTGTGCTTCTCCCAAGGGATTATGAGAGATATTTATGGATGTATGTATGTTGGGGAGCGCACATTTACGAAAACGACAACATGTATTTCAAATGCTTGCTCCATAAATATATATACATACATGTACATTAGTACGCTGGTGGGAGTATTTTGATAAATGCAGATGTATAAATACATATATGCATATGTTAAGCCCACGATTCAGCAGTGAATAATATAATATATGAAATTTCTTAAATTTTTTTTTGAATGAAATTTTATTTTTGAATATTAAATTTTTAATTTTTTTTTAATTTAAATTTTTAAAATATCTACTGAAAATAATAATCTTTAAACCAAACTCTATCATATATGAGGGCGGTCGATTAGTTATGTAGAATCAGTGACTTATAGAGTTTGGTCTTTGTTCATCGAGAGAGGTGTTTATTTTTCAATTGCCTAGTTATTCATCGTTGGAATTCGAAGCTGAGATTGTTGTTGCTGTTAATRCTGGTCCCAAGATTGACGAAATTATCTACAACTTCGAAGTTATGATTGCCAACAGTGACGTGAGTGCCAAGTCGCGAGTGCGATGACGGTTTGTTTGATGACAGGAGACATTTCGTCTTGCCCCCGCTAACTGCTAGACCCAATTGCTTTGCTTCCTTATCTAGTCTGGAGAAAGCCGAACTAACGCAACAGTTATACACTCTATCAGAACTATATTTTCTGTTCAGTCTGTAGCTTGAATTATTTTCTCCAGCAGTAAGAAGTCGCACGATAGGGAGTCTACTTGTCTGAAACATCGTTTGGTACCGAACGGGTCGGAGAGGTCCTTCCCAATTCTGACGGARCTTTTGGTATCGCTCAACGTCAGTTTACACAGCCGCATTAGTTTTGCGGGTATACTAAATTTAGACAAAGCGGCGTAAAAGCAGCACCTTTTCATGTGTCAAAAGCAGCWGTAAAATCGACGAAGAGTGGTGTTTGTCGATGCTCTTTCCATGGGTATTTACCAAGATTTGGTGCATGGTGCATATCTGGTCAGTTGTTAATTTTCCAGGTATGAAGCTAAACTGATAAGGTCTAATCAGTTTGTTGACGGTGGGCTTTAATCTTTCACATAGTACGCTTGGTAGAACCTTATATGCGATATTTAAGAGGCTTATCGCAGGGCAGTTGGCGCAGATTATGAGTCTTCCTTTTTGTGGAGTGGGCAAAGTACACTCAAATTCTAATCGGCGGGCATGCAAAGAAGCTGATGTATGCTCCTTATTAGTTCTTCGCCGCCGTATTTAAATAGCTCGGCCAGTAATCCATCAGCCCCCGCCGCTTTATTGTTCTTCACACGGGTAATTGCTATTCGAACTTCTTCATGATTGGTCAATAGAACGTCTGCACCGTCATCATCGCCGGGGGTTCCCCATCTCCCTAGCGCCGCTGTCACCGTAGAAATTTACAATCGAGTGGTACATTTTCATTGATGACTACTGTCAAAATTTCAGCGTGGCTTTAATGATAGACGCAGGATAACTTGACAATATTTTAAGATCTCGTATTGGCATATACATATTAAGCAACCGATCGCTCACTTCGAAAGGCAAGTGCAACCGAGACCATTTCACGGCCGTGTTTGACACTGTTTCAGATCAATCCAAAGAAGTTTTTATCGTTTCAAGACCTTCGACGAACCATGGATCTGGTAAACAACAAAGATTAAGAAATAAGAGGGTTGCTCATAAAAAAAAAGGTTTAAATGTAATATCAGGGAATGATGTTCTACCACCATGAGAATTGTTGGGCAAGCGAGATGGTAAGAGAGCTATATTTTTCGCGAGTTCGTTCGAATGATTTTGGTTGATATTTTGGGTATGAAACGCGTTCTTTCTCTACTCGTWCCAATAGAGCTGAATTCTTTTCCAAAAGAGATTCGATTGGGATCGAATTTAAAKCGAAAAACGCAATGAATACCATCGATAAACCACCGTGGCTCCATGGGACCCGTTTACAGTCGATCGATACCAATCCAAAAAGAAAAGTGTTTCGAGTCATAAGTCTATTACATCTGGTAGGGATTACCTAAAAGGCGACAAAATGAATTGATTAATTATTAAAGRTTTTGCGTTTTATTTACAATTCCGGCAACTTTTTTATCACAATGTATATGGCTATAAATACTTTTATAGCCTTTTTTCCACCCCCTTAGTATAAAGATGAAATTATTGAACATAACAACATTTCATTAGAAGAACACGATTAAAAATTTCTCCTTTAAAATTAAAACAGAAACCTTTGGATTTCAACGCGGAGGTGGTCAATTCAAGACCGTAAGCTATATTTAACCAAATTCGATCATATATCGGCGTCCTAGGAAAAGTCAGAACTTACGCGATTATAGACGAGTTAAGAACGAGGCGTTTCTTTTTTCGCATGGTGGCGCCAGTTGGAGATTCCAAACGATGCCAGGTCCTTCTCCATCTGGTYTTTCCAACGGAATGCAGATCTTCTTCTTTCTCTGCCTCCCACGGTGTGTATTGCGTCGAATACATTCAGCGCTGGAGTGTTTGCGTCAATGCGCACGGCATGACCTAGCSAACGCAGCCGCTGTCTCTTAATTCGATGCACTATGTCAATGTTGTCTTATAACTCGTACAGCTCATCGTTGCATTGAATGCGATATTCGCCGTTGACAAAGCGCAAAGCACCACAAATCTTCTGTAGAACCTTTCTCTAGAAAACTCGTAACGCTGACTCATCAGATGTTGTCATCGTCCATGCCTCTGCACCATATAGCAGGACGGGAATAATGAGTGACTTGTAGAGCTTGGTTTTTGTTCGTCCAAAGAGAACTTTACTTCTCAATTGCCTACTCAGCCCAAAGTAGCAAATAGTAGAAGTACAAAAGTCTACGTCACTAAAAAGCTGTAATTACAAAACATAATCAAGAATATCTTCTTGACTCGTTTAGCAGTTCACCGAGATCACTGTTTATGTTGTTGTTGTAATGGCAGAAACCATTACTGAAATAATTTAATAGTCCATGGCCGGCTAAAAACTCTGGCCTGTTCCGCAGAGCCGACTGTAGTGGAAACGGCTGGTAAGAACTTTTTTCTTGGATCATCATAGCAGTTATTGAAGTAGAAATCGTGAGAGCGAACAGGTTCGCAGTGCCAATATCAGAGGATAGGGCCAATTGCAAAAATTAAATTTTCCGAACAAARGATCTTAAAATCTATTGCTAGTATTTACAAACGGTAAAGCCACCATTCGTTTGTGGAGTAGCGAAGAAGCTTCTATGCGACTATTTATGGTTTTCGGTAAATGAAATTAGAAGAGCACAGTTTTTTATATTCATATATAATTCAATTATTTTATTGAAATCACTTAATGATTCGTAATTTTACGAAAATATTTACTTTTTTTACATTTAAATTTTCTGAAAAATTTAGTTTTCAACATACATACATATATACATACATAGCCTTATACATACATATATGCATTTCTATTTCATTCTAATTCTAAGTGGGATTTATTTATTTTTGTTTTTATATAAAATACAATTCACTGTGTTTCACAAAATTCAGTCAGGGACGGGGAGCAGATATATTTATAGGTTATTTAAGGGTGGGTTAAGCTACACACAAACATACGCATAATTATTTTATTTATGTACATTTCCCTCCTTACGTCTACACTGTTCACACACACACGCACAGGTTGTGTGCAAGTATGTGTATGTACTGTACATTTTGTCGCAATATTCGTGGAGGAATACTTTTTTACGCTAGTGTTAGTTTTATTTTAGCATTTAATAATAATAAATAAGCAAATATAGGTAAAGTGGATAACAAAAACAAGAACCAGTTTAAACAGAAACAGTTTTCAACTTACTGCTTAATTAAAGTATTACTAAACTATAATTAAACGAAGATATATGTATGTGAGCATGTCTGTATGTATATACCACACATACATATACATRTACATGCGATTACATGTAGTCGCACACCTCAATTTATTCATTTGAAATGTTTTCTTTTATTGATTAGGCAAACCGCCAAGCGCACACACCCGCCGCACAGCGGGAATTGAATTCCATAAGCGCTGTTTGGATGAGTTCATTCATCTCCAAGTGCATCGCCACCGCCTTCCGCACATTCATTTTCATTTGGCCTTCGTCGCGTTTGCGCCACCGTTGCTGTTGCTGTTGCTATTGACAACGGTAGTCGTTGTGTTGGTGTTGGCCGCGTTTGACTTGGTGGTTGCGCTGCCACTGGTTGACGCAACGGGTGACGCTTTCGGACCTGGGACAGCCAGTGCTTTGCCGCCGCCCACGCTACCAGCACTATTGTCTAACGGCTTATCGGCTGGGCCGTTTTTAAACTTTTGCATGAACTCATTCAATGCCTCGGCGCGCTGCATGCGCGTGAACTGCTCCAGCATAAAGGCCTGCTGATAGCTGTAGTGGGGACTCAATTGTTGCGGGTTCGCATATGGATAGAACATGCCGCCGGGCTGTGCAGCGGCCGCAGCCGCTTGCATCTGTGCGCGCAGCAGATTATCCTTGAAGAGCTTGCTGAAGTCGGCAGCGGAGACGTTGCCCAAGTGCGACGGCATGCCGGGTAGGCTGGCGGCCATGGCGGCAACTTGGAGCGCGGTGGGCGGCATGTTGGGCATGGTAGGTAGGCTGGGCAATGATGGCATGGCTGGGGGCATGCTGGGGTGTGGTGAATGCACGAGCTTGTTGGCGTTGGAGTTGGAGTTGGCATTCGGCGATGACATTGGTGCTGGCGCGATATCAGACTTGGCGTTCGTTGACAGCTTAGATGAGGACTGGTGTGCAGGTGCGGGTGATTTGTTGGACTGTGGTATGTTTGGTTTCGCGGCGCTTAACGCGTTCGGASTTTGTCCGTTTTTGGGCTGCTGATGTGCCGCTTGCGGTTGGGGCTGTTGTGCACCTGGAGATTTCTTAGGCGGCGACACTTTCTTAGCGGCATGAACTTTCACGGCAACACCGCTTGGTGCCGAATAAGTGCCTATAATGCTGCCGGTCGTTACCTTCGGCGGTACAATTTCCGGTATGGAGGACGCAGGATTTTGTCGCGGCAAAATTGGTCGGAACTTCTTGCTAGCATCGACAGCGGTGGCGCTGTTTGGCGACTTGTGTGTGTTCTTGCCGTTTGGTGACGCGCTACTTTTCTCGGGACTTTGTAGAGGCGATTTCTTCTCTGCGCCCGATTTTTGTTGCTCCGCTTGTGGCGATTTCAGTGGCTCCATCACCTTCGTATTGGACTTTTGTTGGTTGTTGTCATTCGCGTGTTTAGGGTTCATCTGACTCGGTGCAGAATTCGATTGTGGTGACTTTGCTGTGGTGTTTTGGGTGGCAGTTTGTGTTTTATTCGCGCTATTCGATGTGTTGTTGTATGATGATTTTGATGTATTGCTCTGCGATTTTTGTGTAATTTGCGACAAAGTTGTGGTGCCATAATTGGTGGACTTCCCCTCTGCGTTGTCACGTTTCACAGGGGAGCTTGTGGTGTTTGCGTTCGTCGTTGGTGGCATAAGCAGTTTTAGCGAAGAGGCGTGTGGAGTTGCTGGTAACTTTTGCGCCGGTGGTGAGGCGCGTTTGCTCTGCTCCAAGGCGTCGCTTGACTGTTCAGGCAGTTTAAGGATCTCAATGTAGTTATTCACAGGACTCTTATGTTTTGGATGCGAGGTATTATTTGTCTGCGACTCGCTATCTTCCCGTGTGATGGTAATCGAGAGCGATGAGGGAATGTTTATGTTACAAGAAGTGAGTAATGATTTCACTTTCAATTGCTTCTCTGGCGGATCTTCTGGACTGGGACTGCGCGCGAAGGGATAAACACGTTTGGGTGCCTGCTGGTGACCACCACCAACATCCATTGGTTTATAATTAGTGTTGTGAGAGGGCGAGCTATTACCGTTTGTGGTACCAGTGTTGGTATTATCTTTCATGGTGGGTGGTGCGGGGAAAAGTCCGGCCATTTGGTTGTTCGCACCACCTAATATACTTTGCAAGAAACTACCACTACCGCCAGATGGACGCGGTGTATATTTGTAAGTTGGAACTGTGGGTATATTATAGTTCGGCATGTACTGCGGAGAGCTAGGCGAGTATATTGGTGAGCTTGGCGTGTACATAGGGGTACGACAACCGGGAGGAGCCTCATTGCCTTTCGATTTTGAGGCATTAAAAAGCGCCAGATTAAGATAGTTATTCGAATTACTGATTTTGCCATTCTTTGGACCCAATTTATTGGCACTGCCCGCAATGCCGTGGCGCTGCTGATTCACACTTTGGGATTGTGGTTTGGTTGTTGGCGCAGGTGGTGGTCCCATCAGACTATTATCGGCGGTGATAGTTGTGCCACTTGTGGTGGTCTTTGGGCCATACACTTTCCCGGATGACTTCGTATTGCTGGCGATTGATTTGATTTCAGTACCTGCGTCCTTCAGCAGCTTATTGACGTCACTTGGAATGTTAGCGAAGGGATTCGGACGCGTCGATTTCGGCAGAATAGGTTGGTAACGCTTCGCAATAGGTGTGCGATTTCCTGGCGCAGCCATCTCAACACGGGGCATAGACTGAGGTAGAGGCATCGAATTCATTTTATGCGCTGCCGAAGCACTCAGCTTACCAGAAACTTTTTTCGGCGGCAGACCAATTGGTGGACGCATAATTGCTTGACTGCTAGTTGTTGAAGTTACTTGGTTAGTTTTGGAATTGGGCGTTGTTGTTGTTGTTATCGTGTAACTTGTGGTAGACGGTGTGCTGTTGGTGATTCTTGCTGGCGGAGCCATAAGAGGTTTTTCATTGGATGGCGAAGTCGGCTTAGCGACAGGAGATGARTTTTGTTTTGATGTATTTGCAATCGGACTTGGTGGCAATTTAATTTTGAAATCTTCAGCCGGTAATGGTGGCGATAATTTTGGCTTCTTGGCCACATTCTTAACAGGTTCCTTAATTTTGCGCTTAGACGGTATGGCGGGTCCTTTGAAAACGGTGCTGATWGTCGTCTTTAGCGAATCACGCGCGCCACTTGTTGGTGACTTAACAACCACCTTATGGGTAAACGCTGAAGAGCTGATGCTTTTTGGTGATTTTGGTGATTTCGGTGATTTTTCATTTGTTTCGTTTTTGACAGCTTTGATCGGTGTCAGCGAAAATGACTTGAGGAACTGTGACTTTTGTTCCTCCTCAATGGTTGAGGCAGATACAGGAGACTTTTCAGTCGGAATTTTGGCTAATGGACTTATTTTCGTCTGTGGACTAATTTGTTCGGCTTTTATAGTTAGTGGTGGCACCGTTAGCGGACTAGGTGTCTTGCTTTTGCGTTCACTGTGCGGGGAGTTTTTGGGACTGGATTCTTTATCTCTTTTGCTTTTTTGCTTCCACTCTTTTTCGGGGCGTACCGGCTTAGTTATTTCACGACGTTGTGGATCGGACATATTTATGATTGTCACACTATTGTGTTTCGATAAATCAATCTTTAACTTGATATTTTCAACTTTACGTTCATCACGTGGTTGTTGTTCGGCGGCTTGCTTTAAAGCTTCCTTGGCTTCRCGTTTCTCTTTGGACGATTTCGGTGAGTTATGCGAGTTATGCGCATTTAGTGCTTTCTCGGCTTTACGTTCAGCCGAAGAGTTGGAGTGTGAGCGTTTGTTTTCCGTACTTGAGCTGACGGCGGAAGCCTTGGGAACCTTGGGAGGCTTCGCCGGTTTAACGTTTACTTCCACAATCGATTTAGCCTTCAATTCTTCAGCCTCTTCAACTTCCTCTTCTTTAATATGTTCTGGCGTCATAATCTGTTGCTCGTTAGTTTTTAAGRCCGACGCAACTGGTTTCGGAATTATTGTGATGGCATCTGGTATGGGCGAAATGGTTTGTGGAATTTCGTTAGCGGGAATTTTCGTTGATTTGACTGTTGCTGCGGCATCTACAACTTCATCCTTAATTTCTACCGGTTCTGGTGCAGCCGCAGGCATTATGGCTGCTGGTTTACGTGCCTTTACAATTGGACGCAAAGAACGTTTTACACGAAAATAGAAACGCATTGGCGCATCACGTTTCCATGTGTAAATGTAAGCCACATCCATGAGCGTGTAGTGATCGAGCAGCACTATCGTCTTCACCTTATACATTATGTCAATGTTGAAGCGCTGCGTATCGATATCGAATTTCCCATGTACGAACTTCTTCAAGTGTCCAACAGTGCACATGGCGGGACACTGCAGGTAACGTGGCTTCAACAATTCGCCGTAATCGCTGTTCTGACGCACCAGTTCACTATAAGAGAGCGAAAGAAAAGATGGAAAGGTCCAGAGTTGTAGCATTGTGCGTTGATAAATTTTGGATTGTGGAAAGTAATGTAAATGAATGACTTAAATGTGCAAATGAAGTGCCACTGAACTTCGTGTTTCTATATATCTAGAGCTTGTATTTGCATATATACAATCTAAAAGTATGTGTGTATGTTCTACTCGCTTACAATAACTGTACTTAAATGGTTACTTACTCTGTGTCTGCGAACTCCAACGATAAGGACATACAGTCCGAGGGACTGAAGATGAGATGTTCGGTGTCTTCGCCACGTTGCTCTGGTGTAGCAATAGCGGCTTCGGCCGGACGATCCTTGTAAAAGGCGCGTTTACGCATCAATTCTCTTTCATAAAGCCCGGGTACAAGTTTATAGACAATGGCTTGCAACGTCGTGTCAGGCCTGAAAATAAATGAAGGCAAATACTTTGGTGAATAACTTTGAAATATAAATATGTATGTATTAATATAAATAATTAAAACAAGAAAATAAAATAAATRCCCTTCACAGATGCATTTCTGTTAGTAATTATGTATTCAGTGTGTATGGAAGCTATATGCTATAGTAATCCGATATGAACATTTTTTTCGGAGATTATATTATTAATTATTAATATAAGCAGTAATCCATGTCAAATTTCGTGAAGAGACCGCGTCAAATGTGAAAGTTTTCCRTACAAGAACTTGATTCCGATCGTTCAGTTTGTATGGCAGCTATATGCTATAGTAAACCGATCTAAACAACTTCTTCGGAAATTACATTGTTCGCTCAGGAAATAATCTATACCAAATTTTGTGAATATATCTTGTCAAATGACAAGAACTGAACTGAACTTGATCGTTCAGTTTGTATGRCACCTATGTGTTATAGTGGTCCGATATCGGCAGTTCCGACAAATGAGCAGCTTCTTGAAGAGAAAATGACGTTTGCAAAATTTCAAAACGATATCTTAAAAACTGAGGGACTAGTTCGTATATATACAGACAGACGGACATGGCTAAATCGACTCAGCTCGACATACTGATCATTTATATATATACTTTATTCCTTCTCCGACTCTTCCTTCTGGCTGTTACAAACTTCTTGACAAACTTAACATACCCTGTTCAGGGTAAAAAAAAATTATGAAAAAGCGAAATATTAGGATGAAAAAACCTTATATGTATGTACTTAGGTAAGTATATATAAACATATTTTGAAAAATCCTTCTGAAATTTCGAACAAGTTCTTTTAGYCCCACGTAGGGAATCGCCTATATTGGGCACAATACATAACTGCCATTTACGGGGTTACACGGATTACGTTTACGGATTTTTTATTGTCTTATTAAATTCTACAACACCTCTAGAATATTGTCCTTAATTTTCAAGTTGATCCGAGTAATAGTTTTGGATATACAGCCTTGAGAACTTCTGCGCTCGAGGCTAGCCCGTGCACCGTCTTAAAATGTGTTTTTCTCGAAACTGTGTTTTTGAACTCGATGGTAAGATTTATTGAGAACTACTCAACCGATCTTTATGAAATTTTAMACAGGTCTTTGAGATGCAATTCTGAAAAAGTGTTGAAAAAATACTGTTTACCGAGGAAACCCACCCACATAACCCTAGTGTGAACTTGTAAAAAAAAATTTCCATATTTCGATAGGTTATACCTTTAAAAATAACATACTAAAATTTCAAATCGATATCCGAAATAGTTTTTGAGTTACGGCCATTTAAAAGAGTAGCCGCTCGGCAATTAGATTACAATCACTTTATCTTTAAACGCATTTTTCTCGAAACAGCATTTTTCGAATATGCTGCAGTGATTACTCGGAGACAAAAAATCGCTATCAAATTTTTGTTGCATCTTCTCTATATGTATATGCAGTTCTTCATACGATGACCCTCCAGTTTTTTTATCTTGATTTTGGCAGGCCAAAAACGAGAATAATTTTGGATGAAATTTAATTTTTATTTTCAACATGCCGCCATTTTGTCAATTTCTGATTTTTTTATTAGCCCGAGGGTCATCGTACAGACAATATGTTTTAGTTTAACGAGCAGAGAGGGCTGCAATCATGGCAGTAGTGGAGGACCTTTTTTTTTGGCACCGCAAAAATATTTAATATTTAATATTAATATTAATATTTTCTTAAAAAAAATTTTTTGTGTACTCTTAAAACATGTATAAATATACCTTTGAAATTTTAAAACGATTGATTGACTAGTTTTTTTTTTATTCCAAAAAATGCCGTTTTGGTGTACCCCTTAAGCTGATAAATCAAAATCTAGTCCTTGTAAGGAAAACCTTTTGCTTTGACAAAATATATTCATTCAAAATACATACATATACATACATATAATATCCAAAAAAAAAGTTTTCGGATCGATCCAGTGTAGTATGGAGCTGCCATATGCTTAGCGATCAAATATCCTGTATGGAATTTTTTTTATTGGTGAATGGTATTCTGGCTGCGGTACAGCCGAGGTCAACGTTTTTACCCCTTTTTCATCATGTTTACGTAATACCAACGGATTAAACTCTTTTATYATTGCATATAAATTGATTAATTTGTCTCAAACTGATACATATGTATGTGTACTAAAGATGTAATCTGCTCAAAGGTCGTATAATTCTCGAAAGTCAATGCCCTGGAAATCCTAACCACCCATCAAGTTAGAAAAAATCGCATTTAATAGCTTCGATTTGGCCCCTTTCAAAGCGCACTGCCTGCAACGGTTGGGTTTAAGGTGCTTTGTGAACAGGGTGATAATACACATATGGGCRAACATACATACATAAATACATACATATGCACATGTGTATTCAAATGTAATGTGGTGTGAAAAAGTTTTCATCTTCCACAAGGCAAACGAACCTACCAAACCAACGCCAATGCTGTTACATGCATGCTCACACATTCATATACAATTACMAATGCGGCTATGTACACAAATGAGTACATTTGTATGCGTGTATGACTGTGTTTCGCCCTTCCTAATCACAAATATTTCAGCAATGTTTCATTTGAGTACCGAAGCATTTGGCTAATGCAAAGCGCAAACAAATAAATGCTGTGCACACAAATGCACATACATATTTATAACCACATACATACACATGCATATTTATGTACATAGTATGTACAAATAGACACGAAAAGATACCAAAGACTTTTGCTGACGACAACATCGTCAATGGTGAGGCAAATTCAACGACAACAACAACAACAGCRCATAACACTAATGGTGTCGTAGCTGATGGAAATGTTGATGCTGATGGCCGGAGCGACGTGGCGGGTGACTTTATCAGCTTGAAAATGTGCAAAGGAGCATGACTATGGGAGAGCGGTGTGCGCAGCGTTTGTGCCTGTTGCCCACCGCCGCTGCGGGAATCTCGGCAACAATGACGACAGAACACAACACAATACTGCATTTCGGATTCCGCGCACATTCCATATAGCAGCACACAGCACASCAACAATAACAACTACAACGTCACAATGATAACGAAAGCAGTGGTAAAGAGAAAAAAATTGAATTTCAATGAAATAAAATCAAGAAATGTAAATAAAACAATAAACAATGACTGCACTCCGACCCGCAACACCCGAACCCAAATAAGCGAGCGATAACCAAAGCAGCGGCGCTGAGCGTATTGAAAAACKCGAGAGCACAATTTTGTYCCAAACATACGAACACTTCAGCATTTTTTCTCATTTMATTTTTTATTCACATTTGAGTACCTTTTTCGTCAGYATGTTTTGTGTGGTCCTTCGTCACTTTATCATGCCATTYCTCTCGTTTATCGTGCATTTRAATGCCTACTTTTCTTTGTTTTGCTACACATTTATGTTGCTTTTTTGCTTCGCATTTCGGTTTGTTGTTTGCCTGGGAACGAARTGGGATTCCTCAAAATGCGCGCCAGAGAATGGAATGTTTGGTATCGAAAGGCACGATGTGAAATCGGCACATAACTAACCAAGCAGCTCACTTCACTGGTTTATGTAAGTCGCTAACAGCTGTGCTCGCAACGCTAAAGTCACAATGTGTCAGCCCCAACCACATACCATACACACACACACACCAATTTACATGTGTGGAAATGCATGCCGTCGGCAAATCGAAGCGAAACCCCGCCCGCCAGTTAATTGTAAGTGTTTACGGCGCTGCATGCGGTACCAATGCGGCGGCCAAATAACGCGAGATGTGCCAAAAGCGGGTTAGAGCTGACAATAAAGGCTCAATGTCGAGATGCTTAAAAATAGTAAGGGCATGTACACGTAAGAAAGCAGAAAAAGTAACACAAGGTAMGACTTAAATTCACTTAATTGGCATTTTGATTATGTTTTCGGAAAGCGAGTTTTATTTTYCCCCTCTAGCGAACCGTTTGCCTTTGCGCAGATTGCATATGCCATTTTTTGTCACTGCTATTTCTATGTACAAATGTACATACATATGTGTATTATACACACATTCTTATACCAAAATATATTTTTTTTACCTTTGGCAGCGAATTCTGACTACAGATTCGCCCCTTTTTATGGCACTCGGAAGCCCTGCTTTAACACATACGAACACACATACATGCATACAGCTATCGGCCACAATCACACATGCCACATTACATGGCCCTAGATGCCCCGTTAATCAGATCAAATCGGCAATGCACGAGCTTGTCCCGCAACTGCCGCCGTCGAAGGGATGTAATGCAATGCGTTTAAGTGATTTCTGCGCTCAAAGAAGGGTGACTTTGCGCTAGTAGATTCCGTATAGAATATTTTCTGCGAAGATGAATGAGGTGTGCGTTTTATCTACTACCGGACAGCGAAGACGCCGCTGATCACGAAGGAAATAAGTAACGAGAAAAATACTTTGAAATGAAGTAATTGGCAAGATTAATAAGAATAGCAGTGGATTGTATTTCTTTTGGTGTCTGGGAACATCTGTACATCTGCACATTTGTAAGTATGTATGTATGTTGATGTGAAGGATTTCCTATAAATGATTAGGGTGTACTCCTTGCAGTTAACTCCACGTACAGATCTGAGACTTTTTGTCTCACTGTCTCATACAAAAACGTGAATTTTATTGTTAAAAAGCATTGGACCGATTCAAGCACAGTAGACCAGGTTCTACATACATATTTAATAAGGCATTAGTCACATGTCGGTATATCAAATAGATTTTGAGGTCTCATATATTATTGCAAAAACTGCTACATACCTTATTCTATATATAATATCTCAATTTAAAGTCCAATTATTCGATTCACACCAAGCTAAGTCRGCAGGGAAGCGTTGAAAATATTGCAGAAGTGTCTTGGGGAGTCTACTTAAGTAAGAACAGAAAGAAGTATTTGTATGGCAGAAAGCATTGAGTGACGGTCGTAAAGTCATCGAAAACTTCTCTCCAGCGATTCATCCATTCACCTTTGTTAAATACGATACAGGAGAGGAACTCAATATCGACTCAAMGTGCCAATGCCGGACTTCAGTAGAACCAAAAGACCAAAGAGATCGAAAAGGTATGCTATGAGCCATGAGGTAGCAGGAAAACTGGGTATAAATTTGATTCACGACATATTAAGTTGGTTGCAGGAAGTTTTGTTTGAGAACCAGTTTCTTTATCAATATTCAATAAGATTCCAACTAAATCATTTTAAAATCATCGAAAATATTATAGAAACCCAGAGTTTCACAGGAGAACAGTCATACTTATTAGGTGGGTATACATATGGTCATAGAAAGGAAACCGGATGTGGGAATAATTGTAGTAAAGTGTAGGTCCAAAAAATTTTTTTTCCCCGGGCTCCCTAGGAACCCTAGCCCCCACCCAGGAGCCTGGGTATACACGACCACTTTCGTGCTTAATTGACATATGTACGTATTTACATTTTCTTAAAAAAAGGTATCATATATGTACATATATAGGCATACATCCCTCATAGGCATACATATATGTGGTAAAAATCTGTTGTACTCACTTTATATTTGGCTTCGCCGTGTTTATCATCATTTCACAGCGTGGGCAGTACTGTTCAGTCCGCAAATGTTTAATTAGGCAACTGTGGCAGACTGGAAAAAAGGAAAAATATATATTAATTAATAAAATATAAACCACATGTACATATGTAAATTTTATGTACGCAATTATATAAATATATAACCCAGTACTCTACTTAGGGCTATAACCCAACTTTCAACAAAAAAATTACAATTATATGTTTTTACATAAATTTTTTGTGGTTTTCTGCATAAAAAAGKTTGGAAGTTTATCAATAATCTTCAGAAGCACGGAATTTGTAATACCCTTCACATAAGCTTTTCTTATAGCATAAATATACCTTATAAGAAAGTCTTTATCACAATTTTTCTCGGTCAGTTTGTATGACAGCTACATACATACATACATATGTATATGTATGCTGTGGTGGTCCGGTCTGACCAATTTCTACGGAGATTATACCATCGCCTTGGACAATAATCTTTTCTAAATACCCTGAAGATATCTTGTCAAATACAAAAGTTKTACATGTAGGGTTTGGATTTTTCTTCGTTGGTTTGTATGATAGCTATATGCTATAGTGGTGCGATCTGAACAAGTTTTGGGTAAATTGTAGCCTTGTCTCAGAAAATCACTCATGCCAAATTTTGTGAAGATATTTGGTGAAATAAAAAAGTTTTCCATATAAGGACTTGATTTTAATGGATCGGTTTGTATGACAGGTATATGCTATAGTGGTCCGATAACAGTAATTCCAACAAATCAGTTTCTTCTTGGGGTAAAAATAACGGGTGTAAATTATCAAATCGGTATCTCAAAAACTGGTAGGGGAATTCGTGAACATAGACAAAAATTGCTAAACTAAACTAATTGCTGGCAAGTATGGGAAGCCGACCCCAATTTACTTTTCTCTGATGATCCTTAACATTACGTAGCATACTCATGTGCTCGGCATAAATCTTCATTAATTTGTGTTGGATACTTACACGAATGCAAACATTCGACAATGGTTGTGGCATCGATGAGGTAACCGGTGCACAAGTGACAAATTATATGCGGATTCATGACGCTCAGCAGTACTTTGCGCGGCTTATCCACAATCAGATTATCCTCAGACGCATCGTCGGTGGTAACGAGTGGATCAGCTTTCTTCTTGTTTGCTTCCGCCGGCGCCGCAGTCGCAGTCGCAGCCGCAGTGTGCTTTTGATTTGTCGCCAAWGTAGGAGGCGTTGCTACTTGATTAACAGTAGTTGTAGTGATTTTCGCAGTTGTTGCTTTTGTGTTTGAGGCTGTTTCCTCCACCTTGACGATCACTTGTTGTGGATCGCATTCCTCCTTTATTTCCACACCATTTTGATTAATAGCCGATTTTATTATTGTCTTCGCATTTATTGTGCCTGTTGCAGCTGCCACTTCGGATGATGTTACTGCTGGAGCTGCTTCTGGTGTTGAAGTGGCACCATTACTTGTGATAGCCGACAAGGCCAACGGTTTCGTACTTGATGATGTGGACGAGGCTGCGTTGGCGGTGGCGGAGGATGTCGGTTGTGGCATTGTAGTTGCCTTTGTCGTCGTTGTCGTCGTCGTCGTCGTCGGTGATTTAGTGCTGCAATTAGTTTGCGCAGGCGACAACGCGGACGGCGACGCTGATGATGACAGTGTCGACGTGCCAACAACATTACCAACAGGCGAGGAGAATTGCGCGTTGTTCACGCTTTTGCCAGTTGCGCCATTAACGGTAGCATTCGTCGTGCTGCTGGCATGGGTGAAGGACAATTTTGTATTCGTTGTATTCGTATTTGAATTTGTGTGTTTTTGCATGTCATTGCTTTTAGCCTTGGTGTCACTGTTGGTATATTTGTTCGTTTGCTGCTGCTGCTGCTGCTGTTGTTGTTTGTGTTGCTGCTGTTGATGCTGCTTCATTTGGCGCACACTTTCCATACTCGCCGAATCCATGCCACCATTGTGCTGTATGCTTAACTTGTTGTTTTTGCTTTTGCTTGAATTTTGCTCAACTACGTTATTGTTCTTTATATTGTTGTTGTTATTAAAGTGATGCTTGCTCTTGTTGTCTGTGCTGCCACCAGTGGCAGTTTGGCATTGYGCCGTCTGTGAAGGTGTACTGTGTTGTTGTTGTTGCGGGGACACCATCGGAACGCGACTAGGCGAGGTCGAAGTGACGGCCGCGCTGGTTGTAGTAGTTGTTGTTGTAACAAATGTGGATGCTGGCGATGCAGGTGGCGGTGCGAGACCAGTGCCCACCACTGATGTGGCTCCTGGCACTGGTGACATTGTTGCTTTCTGTCACCCACAAAGGAACTTACAAAAAAATCTGGAAGGAGAAAAACGAAAAGTTGTTGTTAGAAAAAGCGAGTGAAAAATTGGAATTTATGTGCTCCACGGGGAAGCCGGATTAGGAGAATATAATTAAAGTGAAATGAAATGTTTTGTTGAATGGACTGACCAAAAAATGTACAAATGTATGTACATATGTATGTAATCATGCTTTCCTGGGCAGCTCTAAAGCTATGAAGTTATATATATTTATAGCTACGTATGATTGCATTCATTGTTTGCAGGTATGTCTGTCTGCGCATTGTATTGTTGTATGTAATGTTCGACCACATGCCATATGTGCTGCCCTTTTCAATTATTTGTATAAGGATGGCATTATAAAGCGATGATATCAAAGTGCAGGTTCATATTTAAARCGCTATATACAAGGATTTAAAAGTGTACTTGTGAAAAATTCCATAAACTATAGACGGGGAGAGTTTTGAAAATGAAATGTATTCGTTTGAAACACATTCCAGCTGAATGTATTGGTYATAATTATTGTACTATTGAATCGATAAATAAAAAATTTCGTAGATTTTCACAACCTCTTCCCTTGTTCGCGTGAATGTTGATCTCTATTTGTCAATTAGTGTGTGTTTTTGTTCATGATTATAAGAATGACAAGTTTTACCATGCAAAAAAAATTGCACGAGTTTGTTGGAAACTTTCGTGTTCCCAAAGGAATAGCGGGTATGGAATTGCTGAAAATATTGCAGAAGCTTTTCGTGGAGTCTACTTTAGTATGAATACAGGTTTCTGAATGCCACAAAGCATTGAGCGAATGTCGTGAAGTCATCAAAAACTTATCTCCAGCGATTCATCCATTCACCTTTGTTAAATCCGAGAACACCAAACAAGTTGAAGAAATGGTTAGACAGGAGACAGGAGATGATCTCAACATCGACTCAGTGTGCTAATRCTAGACTCCAGTAGTACCAAAAGACCAAAGAGATCGAAAGATATAGTATATTCTAATGCTTAACAATATCCATCTCGTTGGTACTGTTGTGACGACATCTGGGTTTATGAGTATGAGCGGTGAAAACTAAGAGCCTTGAGTTAGCACGAAAACCAAGTATAGATAGGTTCTAACTTTTTGAGCAATAASCTAATGTTTACAACAAGTATATATTAGGGTTAGCCAAAAATGAAACATTGTTAGAATTTTTTWAGCCTATAGAGTTATTAGAGTACTTTTTAAACATGGAGCCGGAGAATTGAGCGGAARATAAAAAACAGAAACACCATTTTTTTTTACAAATCATTACTTTATTGAATTACCAATACCAATATTTTACTCTATTAAATTTAGGTTTTTGGTTAAATATAAACTTTTTKTTTTATTAAATTTCGATTTTTTCCGTTTTTTGAAGCTTTGATAAAATACCTCTAGGTAGATTTTTTAGAAAATGTATGTTCTATAAGAATCAGAAATGTTTAACATTTTATAGCAAACTTTTTAAAAGTTATGCTGTTTTGAATGAAAATATTGGGTAGTCGAAAAAGTCTTTTCGTATTTTCTCATAGCAGTGCCGGATTAAGCTACCGCGGGGCCTGTAGCGAATCCTTTAATGGGCCCTTAGTTTGCTATAGGTTCTCAAGTTTAGGGTATTAAATAAAACAAATTGTTACAAATAAAGTTTTCTGGACTTATTATGGGCAAATTTAGATATAATACTTTCAATATCGGCTTCTTTAGCAAGCCATGCTCTATATTCAACAAAGTGAGATGATTAAGACGTTATTTGCCCATCGTGTTCCTTAATTAATTTAAGTATATTTTACGCTCCATCTAAACTGATATTTTATTAATTACGGTCATTTGGAGCGCGGGAGCGTAGCATTTGCAACTCTTGCTATGTGACTAATCCGGCACTAGTCTATAGATSTCGTTGCAATCGTATATCTTCAGTGCTACCAATCACATTGTGTCAATGTTGGAAAGGTGAGATTTTAGGCTTCATTTAACCAAAAAAAAAAATTAAATTCGGAGAAGTTGAGAAACACGGAGACTATGCTGTATTAGTTTGTGTAGCACAATAATGGTTCGCTCGCTTCCGTTCTGGAAATTTCGAAATTTCGATTTACACTCATTTAATAATGCCCCTAGTGGAAAAATGACAAAAAGTGGTCTCCAAAATGGTACATATTTGTTTTTTTATTATAAATGTAAAAAATAAGTTGAAATTTGACTAGAAATACGAAAAGACTTTTTCGACTACCAATATACTTTAATTACTTATCGAGAGCTTTTAAAATTAAGCAGAAATTCGTTTTAACTCAAGGTTTCGGATCATATCAGTTTTTTCTCACCTTAATATACTATACATATTTATTTATGTACGTTTAGAAWCCATTGACTTTATATTTCTGCTTTATTTCGTTTAATGGCGATGCGTTCATTGTCTATCATGCGTATATCATATATACACATCCATATGATATAGAAAGAGAAATGTGCTCCCAATACTAAGCTTTTAAAGGAGGATTTGATTTAAAAAAAAATAAATAAATTATTTTGCCAAGAAAACTTTAATAAATTCTGTGTTTATTTTTCGTGTGCACAATAATCAAAGCAAACAACGATTACACGCACAAGTAGGTAGTGAATTGATGAAACGTGCACCAAGGATAATTGAAAACGAAGTTCAATGACGGCCTTCAGTTTAACTTCTTAAAGATCTCGATCGATAAACATACTTTGGTATGTATGCTGGTAAAAGATGTAACAAAAAGTAATTTAAAGAATGTATATAAATACTTATGTAATTGTGCGTTAGGGTGAACCAAGAAAAAACTAATATAGATGYTAGGGGGTATTCTACTCTAGAATTTTGAAAAATTCGATTTTTTTTCATATATAATATTTAAAGTTTAGACCCTTAAGAACATATCCTCCAAAGGATTTTTAAAAATTAAAATTATTTTAAGAACTACAGTTTCCTTAGTGACGCAGTATCTAGCGCACTAATAAATGACTTAGAATGCCTGAAATTTGACTCACTTTTTTAAACGCGTTTTTCTCGAAACTACTTTTTTCCACACGGTACCGGCATTAGCTCAAGTTCTATACAACCGATTTACTTGAAATTTTGTGTGAACCTTCTTTATATAATCCTTTATCATTCCTACCAGCATCGTGTCAAAATTTTATTTTTTAATATTTAAAAAAAAATTCAGGAATTAAAAAAAAAGCGTAAAAAGTGATTTTTATTTTTAGGCAGTCTCCATTAAAAAAAAAATTCGTGTTTCCTGAGGTAGGGACTATAACAGCATCCTTACTGATTAAGAATTTCTTTTGATTTTTTTTCAGACCACCAAGAGAGTCAGGATCAATGTCACCAGGATGCGCCATTTTTTATACACCTGTCCTTCCCCCTCTAATTATTTTAATTTTTTATTAAAAACATTTTTTTGTAAATTTTTTTTTCTATATTCTTAAGATATCAATAAAAACACCATAAAAATGGATGGTAAAAATATTTTTTGGTTTTTTTTTAAATAAAATTAAAAAAACTGCCCAAAATTTGATTTCTAGACTTGAATACCCCCTTAAGATTAAATTTCAGTTAGAAATGAAGCTAACTATAAACAAAGGAAAAAATATTTCTGCAAGGCTAGTTCTTCAGCTCATTTTAACAATATCTTGATAATTTCTTTTAATCAAAAATACCATGAAAAGATAAATAGACGAAGATTGCACCTCGACCTTAAGTCTATTGTGCCCTTAAAAAAATACCCTGGCTTGCGAACCTTTTAGGATAACATTTTTTGCATCGCTGAGTCTTGTAGAGCAGAGAGAGCACGGACATTTTTTTTCATCCAAAAATTTGTATATTTAATAATTTTGAAAAGCAAAAAAAAACGCAAAGGTATATTTTGTCCCGGAATAAAGATTCTTTCTAACCGAAAAATGTGAAATTAATTTTTTTTTAACTCACCCTAATATGTACATACTTTTGTAAGTARACTGATACATTTTGGGTAGAAGCAGTAAAAAAACTCCCATCACATGTCCGGAAGAAAAGTTCTGCCCTTTAACTTAGATAAAAAAAAAATATAGGAAATGAGGAAGAATTGGGCAAAAATAAAATAAAATATATAACGAAACGAAATATAAACTGACAGGAAAGGAAAAAGGTAAAAAGTTTATTGCGAGCAGCTTGAGGCCAAACGAAGAAAGCAAAAAAATGTCAATGAGTGACAGGCAATATTAGTGAAGGGACAAAAATTCGTACGCTAACAAAACAACTTTCAAGTGAAAGCATGCCAGGCAGACAAAATATACAAGCAGATAGTACATGTACAAAGAAGTTTGAGCCCGAAGCTCAGTATAATGGCTCTTGGCCGGTTGGCTCACGCCAAAATACGGGTTTGCCCTTTAAGCGCACACGAAATGACAGACTCGACAAACCCTGTACGAAAAAAATATCAAAAATCTGTTTTTTAATACCAGTTACGTACATAAATAGTGCACACATACATAGATTTATGTACATAGTTATTGCAAGTACAAGCGCCAGYACCAGCATACCAACCAGTACGTAATCAGTAGCGCAACAGTAGCGGTGGCAACCCTGCACCGAACGATAAGACAATTTGAAAAYATKCACAGTTGACGTYGGAACGCTGCCGTTGCCGCTGTCACTRCCACTGCCTCTGCCGCCCWGAAWTAATATAAAAATTGGAAAAGCTACGGTAAGCTGCACACTGGAGACGTCGAGAAGGTCGGTCAAAGGCGAAACAGGCAGTTGGGCTGAGCTGAAACTACAGTGAAGCCACGTAACGAAATGGAACATTGTGATTATGCCGCTTCARTGGAGGGGATGGAGGGGAGTGCGAAGAGTTAAAGTTAGCCGCCGGCAATGCCTCGTATTTACTAACTTTATATGCGCGTGTAGCGCTGTGTGTATGCCATTGCTATCGCATTTACTACTGCTACTGCTGCTGCTGAAGTATTCTCTATTTATTTGGGTATCAAGCAAATGTTGTGTTGCTACAGCTGGAGTTCATTGGAAGAGAGAAGGCCGTCTGCTGTGAATGGATGAATATCTGACGAGGCAGTGAGGTGTAAAGCGATGAGCAACATACCTACATAACAACAACAACATATCTAAATGAACACGCTATTATGCTAGAGAGGGGGTTGAACAGCGGAAGCTTGGAGTTGCACATACGCAATTACATTTTACGTGCAGCATAAGCAATACTTGTTAATATATTATATAAATTCGTACACTGTATGCACATAAAACCAAATGTGATGTAGAGATGCTCCGCGTTGGCATATTACATGCGCCCAAACAAACATACGCATATCTATATGTGTATACGCTCGTACTTACTGAAGTAATTAATAACTATGTGTGAATATATGAGCGGCAGCCTATCGACTTTCGTGAGATGGTTAATGAGCAGCATTGAAAAGTAAACTGCCATAATCGCAGCCTATAAGGACTCTTCAAGGAATTTTGTGTCGCAGTACGAAAAAAACGATCTCCATACGGGATCTACATAGRTAAAACTGGATGGAAATGTGAAATGTGAGCTCACAATTCCAATGCATGACAAACAAGCAAACTTCCCGGTCGACAGATGATCAACAACAACGTACCAGACACAAAGGCACTGTGCAGAATGTGATGTACAAAGGAGAATTCGCAAAAGCGGTCGACAGAAAAGGTTTCAACAACACAACAACAACAAACGCACATAAACAGATGCAAAAGCAAATGTTCAAATGTTGCATGTAAACAAAGATACAAACATACAARCATACCTACGAAAATATATGTATGTTTGTCTTTATGTATTATAAATATATATGCATATTTACATAGATATGCCCCTACATACATAATATGCATGTGTGTATGTGCGTATGAACGAAAAGCCCGCATGCAGAAGCCAAGTATGGCTGGCACAGGCGAATAAACGAACAAAGGAGCCAGCAAGGAAAAGCATACTTGTGTAACCTGCACAGTGTGTTAGTTTGCATAACTCACTTCTATTATACATATTAAGAAAATATCGATTTATAATAAATTTTAATTAACCAATTTAAAAAAAAA